ACCTGGACAGTGGAGAATGCACCCCAAGCAGGGCTGTCGTGCCAAATCAGCCTAGTACATTTCTTTTACAGGAGAGATTTAATTAGAAGGAGAGGATTTAAGGTGATTTAGGAAGAAATATTTTAATGGGAACTAAAGAAGATACATTAGAATGGATGAAATGACCAAGAATGGTTAAGGAATAGTGAAAAAGGAGCCAAACTTTATGTAGGTATTGATCACTTTGTAAGTTAGTTTGCATTTACTATCTTTTAAAAACATCATATTTTCAATTATGGCTGCCTAGATCAGCCCTAGCAATAAAGGCAAAGCAGGATTCTGGAGTGAACAAGTGTGGTTGTATTTTCATGTCATGTGAAACCGGCTCATAGTAAATCTGTTGTCCAGATTATGAGGTAATAATCAGAACCCCTACTTACATGGCAGCATTCACCCTAATGGCAGGTGTGTTAATCAGCTCTCTGTCAGTAGAACAAAATACCTGAGATCACTAATTTATAAAGAAAATAGGTTTATTTTGGCTCTTGGTTTTAGAGCCCATGATCTGGCAGATCCATTGCTTTTGGGCCCCTGGTGGGAGCGCCGGACACCATGGTGGAACACGTGGGTGAGCAAGCTACTTACAGGAAGCAAAGAAGAGGAAGGAGCTGGGTCCCATAATTCCCCTCAAAGGTGTCCCCAACCACCTCCTAACAGCACCCTCCTGGGGACCAAGCCTTCAGTGATGGGGCTGTGGGGGACATTCGACGTCCAACCTATGACAACAGGCAGCACATCCAGGAGGAAATAAGTGGCCTCTTACAATCCAAACCCACGCTGAGGCTTAGCTGGCAGCGTCACAGGCCCAGGTCGGGCTCCTTGCCCTGAGGAGGTCTGCCAGGACGGCTGGGGTCGGAGGGACAGGAGAGAGCTGGAGGACCTGGGCATCTCCCTGGGGACTCGGGAGCACCTGGGCTGGGTCCGCTGGCCTTGGTGAGCAGAGGCTCCTGTCGGCCTCACCAGAGACACCTCCTGCCTTGGTGTGCAGCGCGGAGCCCTGAGCCCTGAGCCTGGGCGCAGGAAGGTGAAGTAATTAGCGATGGGCGCTTCCCCAGCGTTTCCAGGGAGCTGAGCGCTGGCACCCGGGACCCAGGTTAATGCAGTTTTCCCTCCTGCTCCACAGAGCGGCTCCACCCCACCTCCCAAGGGCTCGGTGCTCCGACAGACAATAGACAACCACACCTCAGGAGAGACCCGGGTAATAGACCTCATTTAGGAAAAAATGAGGGGGGCCCCCGCTCTCTCTGAAGTGTTGGTGTGGGTCCCAGCCCAGGGTCACAGTCCCCGTTCTTCCTTCCAGTGATTCCTAATGGGATGTGCACTAACGACACGAGGACAAGGGCACAGGCCCACTTATGTGCCTTAGAGGCTTTAGGAGCCCCGAAGACAATACTCCCCCTGACGGGATCATGCCTTTTGGGGAGCCCCTGGATTCAGGTCAGTTATTGTAAAAGAGCCCGGAGAGGCCGATGCCGTAGAGAAGTCACGGTGTTGGATTGTGTAACTGTGCATAGTGAGTGCAGCTTGAGACAGGACGTCCCCGAATCTTGGGTCCTGTTTCTAACCCTCTCTTGACTTTATGGAATGACCTTGTGCTGGACGTCGACACTGCTGCGCCCCAGCTGCTCCAGGATGTTATGAGTAAAGGCTAATAAAGCACCATCACAGCATCCTAAAAATGTCAAGTCGATGCCCCTTGGGCCCCCCCATAACTATTCTCATCTGCAAAATGGAGCTGATAACTGTGCACCCTGCCTTCTCTGCACAGATGTTAGGGAGCTGGGCTAGAGAACATCTGTACAGCAGTTTCAGATTTTGGAACATGGGAACAATAAATGACCATAACAGCTATTTATCATGCAAGAGGAGATGACGATATATTCTATATTTCAAGCCCCACTTCTCTCATCTTCTTGAAAATAGTTTTGCTTGTGACCGAGGCCATCAGCTGAAACATAAGTGTACAAAATGCAGAGCCACGGAGGGACCAGGACCTAGAACGAGGCTGTCCGGTAGAAAAGTCACTATGAAAGGAGGTGGGGGTGCACATTCATGAGCTGAAAATATTATTTTGTAAGAGTGAGAGAATGCTGTGGAGTCCGACGCCGGGTGGAGTGAGGGGTGGCAGGTGCTGAGGATCGGGGGCCTCGTCTGGGCCGTGACTTGAGTCAGTCTAGCTGGGTACGGACTCAGGCATGACCAGCCGAGGAGGCCTTATGAAGATGAAAATTACATCCTGAGTAAATATCACAGAACTCAACAAAGGTTATATCCTAGAGGACCAGGGAAAAGATCTGTGTAGATCAACTGGGTAGTGCTTTGATTCAACACACGCGTGTGCGTGTGTGCGTGCGTGTATGTTGCCCACGCATCTAAGGAGAAGCAAAACAATCACTTTCAAAGACAAGTGAACATGTGCAGGTAGCCCATGCTGAAAGTGGTCTAATCAATCATTTCTTCCCTGGGGTCCATGTCTCATTTATTTAGTCTTCAAATATATGCAAAGCAAAAATATCTCTATTTAATAGACTCGATTCAGTGCCTTTTGCACCCAAGGCATTGAGCTGGAGGTGCTCTCTGTCTCCCAGGAGCTGGCAACTCAGAAGGGGACTTGAGACTCTTCCATAATCTGCTCATCCTCCAGGTAAATTAAAACGCTCTCCACCCTTCCTCCTGCCTCCCACCCACCTGGTCAGAAGGCCTATGTCTCGCTCCTGGGTTCCCTTCCCTCCCTCCCTAGAACCTTCCGGAGCTCCTCCAATACAGGTCCTCCTGTCACCTGCCGTCCACAGGTAAGAACAGGCCTGTCTCCGGCTGCCCCGTCCCTGCCCTGCCATTGCTTCTCACTGCCACACGGTGCCACTGTTGAATGCTGGCATGGGCCAGAGTGGCTTTTTGGGGAGGGTGAATCCCAGCTGGTCCCTTCCTGAGAGTGGCCTCTGTGGCCTGCAGTCCTCACTGGGTTTCTGGCAGCCCAGCCGCAGGCAGTGACCGGCCCTTCAGGATGGGCACACACGCGGTCCTCCGCACCCTGGAGCTGTGCCGGGGAGGGCGGGGAGTCAGTGCCTTGCTGGGCTCGATGGAGCTTCCTTGGAGCCCCAGAAAGAACAAGGCTTCCTACCAGTCTGTCCACTCACTGGCTGCCCCCTGGACACGCTCCTTGCATCTAGGATGTCCCTAGACGTCAGATACAGAAAACAATGGCTTTCCTTCACTTTTCCTTCTCTATGTCAGGATTGAGTCACCCCCACCCCCCCAAAAAAAAGAATGAGTAGGAATAATCTCCAGGGCTCCTCCTGCTCACAGTGAGAAGCAAAACGCAGGCGTCTTCAGCAGCACATGCTGTTAGGCATAGAAAGAAGTGGTTTGGGCAGACGCAGTCACCGATGGGAGCACTGCAGAGTGTTGGGGACACAAACCACAGAAGATGGACATAATGGGAGAGGCATCTGTGCAGACCCTTGATGTGCAAAGGAGTTTGAGAAGTGGATGTGATAGGGAGGGGTACAAGAAATCTATGCACACTTGGTGAGCAGGGGTGGGGTGTGGTAGTGGCCATGGGGAATTTTGTGCACTGGGGGCATAAAGTGGGAAAGAGGAACTGAGGGCTGGGACTTGTAATTCTCTGCCGAAGAATGCAGTAGTTCCCCCTTACCCTGCTGTGTTCCAAGGCCACCAGTAGAAGCTTGAAAATGCACATAGTACCAAACCCTATATATGCTCTTTTCCCTATAAGCCCTGAAGTATTGGCACATAGTACCATAATTAATCTATCCTTCTGTGTTTTATTCTTTGGAGGTTTCTTTTTTTTTACACACTACTCTTGTGCTCGAGGACTATTATTACATAAAATTAAGGTTACTCAGACACAGGAATTGTAACATCATGGCAGTTGATCTGATAAATTAGACAGCTACTGAGTGTCTAATGGGAAGGTAGCTTATACAGCATGGATACATTGGATGAAGGGAGAATTTGCATCCTAGATAGGAGGCAACAGGATGGCATGAGATTTTACCACACTACTCAGAATATTCATACTTTAAAACTTATGTATTTGTTTGAGATTTTCCACTTAATATTTCTAGATTAGTTAACTGAAGGTGGGTGAACCTATGGATAAAGACAGACTACAGTGCAAACTAAAGACCTGTACATTAGTGTGTTTTCATGTTTCCTTATTTCTTGATCATCTCAAATCAAGAACAAATCATTCCAGGAACAAAAGAAACTAGAAAGTTAAAATTGAGTTTTCTTAATGTAGCCAAATACTACATCATTATTAAAAAAAAAAAATTTCCAAAAGAAAACAGTCAAACTTGTAGATTTAGTTAAGGTGAAAAAGAATGGTTGGGGAATTTCAATCAGCTACTGAATTAACAAGTCTACGTTTTTCCATTTTCAAACCACTTTCGAGTTATGTAAACAGTCAATACTTTACCACTATGTCCTTGGACAGAATCCTTTTAGTTTTCAGACAGAGACATTTAGAAGAAAATGACACAAAAATTTTCTCCCTCAAACCGCCTTGTTGAAGTTTCTCCAGGGACTTAAAGTGGATGATTTGTAAATTCCTTTAGTCTTAAAATAAAAGGCATTTTCATAAAAGAAGAGGTGATGGCCACAGACAGGGACGGTTACACACACCGATACCTACTCAGGAGGGAAAATAGTCCCCGGTAAAATGTCATTTAATCTCTTCTTCACGGCGCTCAGCTGTCTTACATTCAAAAGCATCCTGAGAGGAGGCTGGCATCCGTAAGGACAAATAAAAGCTCTTTTGCAGCATTTGAAAAGAGTTACAGGAATCAAGAGTTTCACAGTGACAGAAGGGCCATCTTGTTCTGGACAGCTGGGTAAACTTTTCAGGACCCTCGTCCCCCCTCCCCCAGCATCTCATTGGCTCCTCACAGTGTCCCAAGGAAAGAGTCAGGACAAGGATTCTTCCTTCTGCTCACAGCTCTCGAAACCGTGGCGTTGAGCAGCAGCAGAAGTGGCTCGGCTTCCCAGCCAGGAGAAGGCAGAGCCGGGAAGATCTGGAGCCCAGGTCTGTCCACTAAACCTGGGCGGATTCGTCCTGCTGTTCCCAGTGTCCTTCCAGACTGTGGCCCTACTGGACTGGAACATTTCCGGAGGGTGGGCTTGTATCTCGACCATCTTTTTATCCGTCCCCAGTCCCCGCCATGTAACAGGTGTTCGTTAAGTGTTAATTAAATCAGTGCTCCAAATCCTGAAACCTAAATGGCTCTAAATCAGATTCTCAAAGCTTTCTGGGCCCTCACCCATTTTCGTTAAAAAAGAAAAAAGAAAAAAATAGAAAGAAAAACCTTTAATTTCTGAATCTGGCAATTATTATTATTCAGACACAACTATTGAGGGCCAAGTGGGAGCGGAGGGTGACTGGTAGGACAAGCAGCCGTAACGGATGGATCTAGAATATTGTTCATTTTTTTTTTTTTTTTTTTTTTTTTATTGGTTGTTCACAACATTACAAAGCTCTTGACATATCATACTTCGAACAATAGTTTCAAGTGAGTTATGAACTCCCATTTTTTACCCCAAATACAGATTGCAGAATCACATAGGTTACACATTCACATTTTTACATAATGCCATACTAGTGACTGATGTATTCTGCTACCTTTCCTATTCAGTCTCTTGTTTACAGGTGTCTGTTCCTTCCGGCTCATGGGTTTTCAAATGACCTTTCCTAGCAAGATCTGGAAATGAATAGTCTTTCTTTTCTTCCGCCAGGTCCTGTGTTTCCTGAAGTCAGTTGTCATGTGTCCTTTGACAAATGGGCTGCGGGAGTGCTGCCCTTACCTTGAAGAATCCTCTCCTGGGTTTTCTTACCCTCACCCACAGGACTGCCTTTGACTCTTTGCAAAACTGGAAATAAATAAGACCCGTCCCTAAATAACTGTGAAGTGGGCAATTATTTGGCAGGATGCATCTTTCTTTCTTTCTTTCTTTCTTTCTTTCTTTCTTTCTTTCTTTCTTTCTTTCTTTCTTTCTTTCTTTCTTTCTTTCCTTTTCTTTTCTCTTTTCTTTTCTTTTTTTAGCAGTTGTCCTGGTGGCGAGATAAGCTGTGAGGGGTTAGCAGGACCCCAGGAGGCTGAGCCTGGGTTAGCAACAGTCACGAGCCCCTGTGAGACCCCTCCCTTCCACTTAATTTCTCATCTCATCACTGGCTTATTTGTGGTTTCGGGCAGCAAGCGTGCAGGGACGCCTCTGGAAAGCCTTGTGGAGCGTGACCTGGGGTGGCTGCTGGAACAGGAGCCCCAGGTGTGCAGAGCTGGGCTGGGGTCAAATCTCCCGAGATGAGGTTGGCTTGGCTGGTCAGAGTGCTCAGGAGCCCTGCAGGCCTCGCGTGGGGCTTGACGGTGAGAATCAAGCATCTGACCTTGGGCGCTCTTGACTACGAGAATCCCAGTGACTCTCCTGCTTCTTTGGTTCAGTCCAAGAGAATCTGATTCCCTCAACTACCTCACGCCACGGTCAACGGAGGCCTTTTATCCTCTGTCCCTGTTCTCATATGTTTACAGCCTGGAGGGGAAGCCTCACCTTGAACAGTCATAAACAGGTACACTCATTTCTCTAAGCCAGCATCACACTGGGGAGAAAATGTACGGAGGGCTGCAGACACCTGTAACGGGCAACTTTCCCAGAGCCTTTGGAGAGTGGGCTGCATCTGCCCCAGGTCCTCACTGTGAGCTCTGTTTTGAAGTGTGACAGGGAGTTCACAGGTGCAGGTGACGTCGGGGGAGGTTCCAGGCAGGACCAACAGCAAGAGGGCAGACCCTGAGGAAGCAGGAGGTCAACCAGGGGCGGCCACCAAGCTCAGTGGCTCGTCAGGAGGCCCAACGTGCAGATCAGGAAAGTGGAGTGACGCACTCGCTCCCATTTTATGGTTGAAAGTCCTAGGCACCGGGAACCCCCGTAGTCCTGGGCAAACTGGGAAGGTCGGTCACCCTGCAGGGACTCTGCCTAGAACCAACCCGACTTCTAAGCACTGAAGGGTTTGGTAAGCATCGTCCTGCTCTGACCGGATCTCTCTTCGGGAATAAATGCTTTGAGAAGAAGGCGGTGCGGTTGGTCACCCGTTTTTCAGTATCAACCAGCTATGTAAGTCTAAGCTTCGCCAGTTGGTGTCTAGCCAGCGAGACCTGGAGAGTAACAGGAGCAAGAAAGATGTTTCTGGCACCAGAGGAAAAAGCGAGGGTGTGAGGAGATGAGCTGCCTTTCCCCATTACCTCACCCGCCTGAGCCTCACGGTCTCCACTCTTATCCCGGAACAAGAACAGTAACGACACCTGTGCAGGTGACCACCCGCCGAGGTGCTGGGCCTGACGTGTGGCCACTGTCTCACCGCTCTCTTTCTGCTCTCGGCTCCTGAGACATCCTCTCTTCCAAGTTGTCTTGGGATCTCTGTGTGAAAAGCAAGTCACAGGGGGAACAGAGACAATGGTGATCTTCCCACAGACCTATCTTGCATTAAGCTGCAAAGAGTAGGGTCCCGGGACCTGTATTGTACGGGACTCATGAAGCGAGCTCACAGATATTGTCTCCTTAGATCCCTATAAAAATTCAAGGAAAAGAACAGTAACCAACATCTATCAGACCCAACTGAGTGACAGGTTCCATTCAAACTGTTACATGAATCATGACACTTAATCCTCACCATAACCCAGAGGCAGTACGGTTACTGTGCCATGTCATATAGTCATGAAATGTTGCAGCCCGGAGTTGGATGTGGTCACAGTGGTGCTGGAACCAGCCATGGCTGGGTGGAGCCCTTTATCACGAAGGACCCAGCGCACCTGGGCCTCTCAGGAAGACCGAGTATTAACAGATGGTCTGGGCTACAGAAAACTCAGGGTCCCAGCACTAGCGGGGAGAGTCCAATGTTCCCATTGGCCCTTTGCATAGGATGACAGGAGCCATTTGTTTTCTATAAAGCAGCCAGCTGCCTCGTGTAAGGGGCATCCATCCACGGGTTGTTGGAAGACAAAGTGAGGATGGAAGGTCCTGGAAGGTAAGGGGTGGGGAACAAGTCTCACGTTTGCAGCTGGGACATCAGAGACCCAAGGACGGGAGAGCAAGGCAAGGCTACCATGCTGTGCCCCAGGATGGGGGCCGGAGAACTTGAGGAGGAGCCTGGAGGTGGGGTAAGTGACCAGCTGCTCTGTGGCCTGTCCTGGGTTTCGTTCAGCTGGATTAGCTGCCCATGGCTGGCTGACCAGCAAATGAGGGAGACCTCTCAGTGGAGCTCTGTGTGACTCACGAGCGTGATTCTGGAAATGTGTAGTCCATAAGCACCTCAGAGTGACTGTGTTCCTGGGTTCGCAGGAGATGGCGTGGGAGGAGGGGATTACTCTAGGTAAAAGGATCAGAGCCATCCATTCCAAGTTCCCCTATTTTTCTTAATTCTTTGACGCCTTAGTACTTTAACCTGAGAATTCGTAGCTCAGCTCTTCCTACCTAATGACCCCCCCCACGAGGATTGGGTGGGTGCTGAGGTGGCCCCTCTTTGATATTAGCCTAACTAAATTTAATTAAGGAAATAAACTTTGAGGAAGAGGAGAATTTGTTTTGTGACAAACTCTCTGAACTCTGTAATCCCGTACCTACAGTTTAGAGGCTAACCGATCCTAATGAATTGTCCAGCCCATTTCCATAGAAGATTGGGAGAGTTCCCACAGGTGAATGTGTGGCCCACTTTCTCCGGCTGTCTTCCGGTTTCTGACTTCCATTAATAGAAGATGCGTATGTGAATGATGCCAACCTCTGCTCGGGTTTTGTAGCTTGGATCTGGGAGCACTTTTTAGGTGAACTCAATCTCCTTCCCCCATGCAGTTAACTTATTTGTCCAAAGTAATCTCCCCAAAGCTGAGCTTGGGGTTACAGACTCCTGGTCCTTAGGACTTTGGAGAGCATCTGATCACCTCTGGAAGACTCCCAGCAAGGGCTCCGGGGATGCTCTCTGGGAGCCAAAGCCTCATCTTTTAGGGAGATGCCCCTTGAGACACTTTGCCATTCGTTTTTTCTTTTACTTTCTTTTTGGAAGGAACCTGAGTGAAGTTTTCTGCGTCCCCCCGCAGTGCCGTGTACCTCACATGGCGGGCAAGAAGGTGCCAACACGGGAACCTTAGCTGAAAACACACGTGAAGGTGACCGTTTGCCTGTGCTGTGGATCGCAGCTCAGAAGGCACACCTACGGCCGTGTGTCCAGCCACGTCCAGCGGAGTCAGGGGGACACGCCTTGGCCCTGGCACCAGGATAAAGAATTGTCAGGGTTTGCTTTTCTGCTTTTCATCCCTCGACGGAATCGTGTTGGTGCTTTTCCTCTTGGTTAAACCCCTTGTCTTCTCCCTGCGTGCCTCACAGGGCAGCGAGCTTCAGGCACTGCAGGGGACTTGGCCTCCCTCTCCCAGCACAAGTCTGAGTACAGTTCAGGGTTTTATTCTTTCTTTTTGAACTAGTGTTGTGTGGTCCTGAGACAGAGTGAACCGTTCAACTAATAAATTCCTGAGACCCGTCAGCTCGGAGGTGAGGCCTCCGCCGCTCACATGTGTCTCCAAGCTTGACCTGTTGAGCTCTGGGCCACATTGTAGCCGAGCCTTTTCATATTAATACCAATTTATCATTATTCCACTTAAATGCTCTTTTTTTTTTGTCAGAGAGAAAGAGACAGAAAACATCTGCATATTGAGTAATATTAGCTACAGTTGGTGTCTCAAGTGAGAATCAATCTGACAGCCCCATTTATTATATCGGGGTAGGCTTTATTATGGAGACTCTCGCATTTGAACTTTCACTCTGCAAGATATGAAAGAGTCTCTGATGTATTCATATCTCGCTTTAAAAAAACAACATTTTGAAATACAGGGGAGATAGCCACCCTAGGTAACATTTCAGTTGTAATAAGAGAGGCCAAATGTTAGCCAGATTTAAAACAATTACAACAACAAAGACAGGTAGGAGTGTGACTAGTTATTAAGCCTGAAGGTTCCTATGTACAGCTCTGCTCTTTTGTTCTCTGACAGAGACAGCATTCAGGTGTTTGCTTTCCATGTGTTGTATCTAAGGCTTCACCTGTCTTAGGCTAATACCTTAGGCTAATAGCTCAGGTCTTTTGCAGAGTGATGTCATGATCCATTTGCTTTTGGGTAGAGCTGGCCGTGGATGTTAAAGGATGCCCTTGTTAAAAACACACCAAATTGCCACCACGACCACCACCAAAACCTCCAGACTACTCCTTCCATCTATTTGGAAATCTGCCATCTGAGGCTGAGTGAGGTGCTTTGTTGTTATGACAAATGTTCAAAGGCTTGGCTTATCTGGCCACTTGGTTCATTGTAAGTCAATTAAGACTTGAATTATAACAAATCAGGGGCGACTGTGCTGGTGTCGGTGTTACATGTGTTTCCTGGACAGCAGCGATGTTAGTCACCATTGTTTCTACATTCCTACTTGATGAAGAGTAAGGCAGACTGTTTCCCCAGCTCCACGGAGTTAGATGGATTGCAGGTGCTCTCCGTGGCCTTGAACCCTGGGACAGAGTTCCTTCTCTGAGGCCCCCCAACCAGCCACAGGGCGCACTTGGTGTTTTTTCCTTGCCTTCCCTCTTCACTTGTATTATTTCTCATATGAGTCTTAGTGCTCAACACCAGGAAACAGGAAATAAAACAGGGCTCCCATTCAGTAGACTGGTGGTCAGCTTGCAATTGTTTATGGAAATCTGTGAAAGTCCATTCTGTTTATTTTTATATGTCAATATGTCTTAACATTTCCCATGTGAGCAATTTTTTTTAAGCAACCCATTTGCCTGCTCTAGCCTTGATTTTTTAAAGCACTCTGGAGCTACAGTTCTCATATTTCCATGTCAATTAAAATAAAAATGTGTAGAGAACGTTT